TTTACTTTCTACCTTCTCATCATTAATTTATTCACTATTTTCCCTGAATACTGAAAAGCTTTTGTTACACAATTTTCAACCGTCTTTTTTTCAGCTTCCTTTTCAAAATGTTCAATATTAAAATTCTTTCCACATATCTTTTTACATTGAACGACTGAAAATAATCATGTATGATCTTACTGTATGAACAAATATACAGGAGATAAGTGTGTGATTAATTGCAAACCATTTGTTTTCTCATTTGCTTGCTATTCACTTTTGCTATTTACATTGTATAAATATAAGGATAAATAAGAATAATGAGAAGGATGTACGGTGGATATAAATGAAACCTGCTGACATGTTAACACCTCATGACTTTATTCGACATTTAACATCATAAGATATTCTGCAAATCATCATCAGCAATAAATGTATAAATAATAATAACACATTCGTATTTATATTTCATAAATAGAAGTGAATGCATTTATCAAGGTCTAAGTTGACTATACACTATATAACTGACATCAGTATGTTGAATTGAATCTTTTTGATCAAAATGGTTTGAGATTGATATTCGATGAAACTTCACAAAGTCATGTTATGGGCTCGCTCTGGAGAGTTGTACTAAGCACTTGAAATTTATATTTTGATAGGTTTTGACTCAAGCTTTCTAACGATATCAAATATGTTAAACAACATTAAGTTTTTTACTAGAAATTTTAATTTAGACGCGGTCTTATTTTTTTGTTATCAATATATATATAATCTTAATTCATGATTTGAATACCTTTAATTTCTTTTTTGCTCACATATTTTATAATTTCCAAATTATTTTATTTTACAACTTGAAAATTAATAATCAAATCCTACAACTTTAAGTAAAATTAAACCAATTAAACCAAATCTAAGAGTAATTAAAAAAATCTTTTCAAAACTTTTCATTAGGTCAACGACACAATAACATACTTGAATTTTATTATTTTTTTTATATTATTTTGTACAATTAAAATTTTATGACCATTGAAAAAATTTTTTTTCAAGAACTTGATTCAATTCATTTGAGGCTTGTTAGTAGATCGTTATTCTTTTTAAAAATATTTTTTATTATATTTAAAAAGAAATGATAAACAGAAACACACACTTTAAAAGTCAAAATCATTTTAATAATTTAGACAAATAAAATAATTTTAAAAAATTTTGAACTAGTTGAAAATATTCTTATATTTGTGCTTTGTTACTTTTGAAACACGTGCTTAGTAAAAACATCTTAAAGTTACTTGCAAACAGTATATTTTTTAAACACCTTCATACCGAAAAAAAATGAGAGAGAAACGGAAAGCTTAAAGAAAAATTCAATTTCCTTCTCAATCATAATTCAAACCGTGGTAGAAGCCTCTAAATTAACTCAAATTGTTTACTCAAATACATACGAAATTGGTTCTTACGATCTGCCATCTTTCGCTCCCATTCATTCTTTATTCTTCATATTATATTTTTCCACTCAAAAGAGCATGAATTGTACAGCAGATATATAAATATAAATCCTTGTCGACATGATGATCACATTCAAGCAAACATAACTTACATAAGTAACATATATAAAATTCACACACTTGAATTCAGTTCGTGTTTTGCTTCACATTCTCGTATAAATTTATTTTCCTTTTTATGTTTCATTCTATTCTTTTCCATTTTCTTTTTGTGTGGATATATTTACTTGAGTCAAACAACAGAATTAAACAAGGCATGATAATTTTTGAACTTTAAACCATCTTTACTCAAATTATATAATTTTAATTTAAAATGTGAGTAATAACTTTTTATGTTGAAATAAAATTTCTTAAAGTTTTTTACAAGTGAAATTATGCGAAAATTGAAGAAAAACCATAGAACGGTTTCCCCCAGAAGAGAAAAAAAAACCATGAAAATTTTATTGGAGAGTAAAACACAATTGTCAATATAGACTCTTTGCTATTAACAAAAGGAACATAACCAACAACATTATCAACATCAATATACATGTGTATTCAGCTGTACAACGACCAACCGCACTATTTACAATAAATGTAACAACAGTATAGTCAAGAATGGACAAAAAGAGAGAAAAATTGTCATTTCTTGCACGAAGAAAAACTTTGTTTCCTTGAACTTCATTCAGTTGTGAAAATTGAATGACTGGTCATAGATATTTTAAGAGAACATAGAGAAATGTAAGGAAGAAAAGTATCGAAAACAATAGAGTCTAGTACAAAAAAATTGCGAACTATCTTATTCTTAGTTTGTCGGGAGATGAACCTTGATCTAATTGTCATGCTGTGCTCGTCTATGTTTGTTTGAAAACTTCTTATTGATGTTGTTTATGTTTTTGATTTTGCAAGCAAATCATGTCCTAACTATGAGTGAAAAGGGTCTACAATTTTTCATATCGACTCAGAAAATTTTAATGTAGCATTAATTTTAAGATCCGGAGATTATTTTTTCGTTGCAATTTTCTTTCTCTTTAAATAAGAAAAGTCAGAGAATGTGAAAATTCGAGGTCGAAATATCAGAAGAAAATAAATCTTCTGAAACATCATGCAGAATAATGCATAATATAAAGAAGTTGATTTTGCAAAGCCCTTGCTAGAATTTGAAAGGAAATTGAAAATTATCAGAGCGAAAATCATTTCTATGTTATATTTAATGTGAATAAGACGTTAATTGAGTATATTTTTTGAATGTTTAGATTCATGTCTAAACTTACAAAAAATAAATCAGACTGCTCCCTCCTAAAACTTTTCATCCATACAAATTTAAAAAATTCTGAATTGGCCTTAATATGAAGCTTTTTTATTTGTATGAGAATATATTTATTTTAAATAAATCTTTAATTTTTAAATTTTTGATGCATTTGTTTAATAACAATAAAATCATAAATCATATGATGTAGATTTTGCACAAATATTAATTAGCAAATGAATTGAAAATCTATAAAAATTTACGATTCAATAAATATATCATGTCAAAAAAATGTCTGGATGGAAATAAAGTAGTAATGCAAACTTTTTGTATCAAGTTTTATAAATTATTGCAATAAAATTTTCAGCTGTTTGTCTGACGCCAACTTATAATGAAATTTAAAACAATTCTAGATGTTCAAAATTAATTATAAAATTTATAAAGGTCTATACACCATTATGAAAAATTAAATTTGCAATTCATGCAGCATCTGCTAAAATTTGGCAATCAATACAATCACAATTGTTTATGTTTTCAACTGAGCCAAATTTCATTCAAAAAAATTTTTTTTCTGAGAATCTTAAAAATGTTTACATTAACTTTTGACCTTGAACATTTTTTTGAAATTACTTTTGACCTTGAAAATTTTCGCAGTTCTAACCTTCTAGAATATACGCTGTACAGTTGAATAATATTCATAAGAAGATAAAATAACACACGAAGTGTGATAGAATAAAATGAGAGAAAATACTAATAACAAAGCTACAAATGCGTTTTCATTTTCCAGACGTGAGTACAATGAAAACATGTCTTGAATAATAAAATAAAGCAAGAAAATGAACAATTTTTCTTCCTCAACAACAGCGTCTAAACAGTATCAGCATTTTACGCTTGACACGAGGGAAAAGCCAAACGAAAGGAAATATAAGAAATGAGAAAATGTTACGAGATTTAACAATGAGGATAAATTAGTATTTTTTCTTTCAGTATATTGTATTCGCTCTAATTTCTTTGTGGCTAAATTCATGTAAAATATTTTGCAATAAATTATTTGTCGACTGAACTTTTTTTCATTGTCGAAAATTCAATTCTAAACAAAACATCTCATTATGTTGACGAAAAAATAAACTGAAGCATTCATCAATTCAGTGAAGAAAAAACATGAGAAAAACCATCGACAATGAAAGCAGATAATTTCCGTAAAGACTCGTGGGGTTGATTTTCTTTTCTTTTCTTGGAAGGCTTTTCTTGATATTTTTTATGTATTTAATTCCTTGTGTTTCATATCGACAAAAAAAAAATTTTCACATAAATTATAATTCAAGTAAAAATCGATACTTATGTGCAACGAAATGAGTGTCTATAGATATTGTGCAATACTTTTGAAGGCGCTGAAGGAAAGTGATTAAAAAGTAGTAAGCGTTTTCTGAAAATATTCTCAATTTTTTTTTATTTATGATTTAAATAAATTGTAATCTGAATAGAATGCATCTTAAGCTAAATTGGAATGAGAATCATCTTCGTCTATTTTTGGACAAAAATTAAGAAAACCTAAATGAAATTGATGAAACTGTTTCTATTTTTCCCACTACTATTTTGTAGGTTCTCTTTTCAAGTGGATTAAACAAGTTGTAATCAGAAAAACCATTGCATATTCAAACTCAAACATTCTTGCCACTTAAAACGCTTTATTTTATTATTGTATGCTGATGCATTTTTATTAAAATTGCTCATGAACTTTTGTTTGGTCTGCATTGATTATTTCATTTCAATATGATATTATTTGTTTCAAAAATCCATTTGAATTATTTTTAAAAAGCAAGTGATTACACTTTTATTTAACTTCCGAATATGTTGATTATTTTATTTGAAAACCACGATAGGTTGTTACCAGTTTTTATTTGTGTTGACAATATGGGTCTTACCGAAGACCAATTATCAATCTACCCCCTTCTATACCTCTACTATTAAACGATCTGATATAATCATTATTCTAAACTACATAAAGATACTTGACACATTTTTCATAGCGACATAATTTTACTAAAAGCATTTCATATTTTGTATTAGTGACAAATTTGCACGACTGATTGCACAATGAATATACGGAACTGAACGTGAAAAGGAATGGATTTAAAAAATAAAGGTATATATTTGTACGTATTTCGTTTTCTTTTGTTTCTGTTTCACATTTAATTTAATGAGAATTGCGAGGATAAAATGAAAAGATTTCATTTAACTTTAAATCATTATACAGACTAAGAGAATCAGTTTGCATTGAAACTGAGAGAACTCACCTGAGTAAAATGCTGGGAACGATTAAATGGATTTGAATTGTTTTGCTGTTGTTCTTGTTGATGGTTTTGTTCCTCACAACATTCTTCGCATTCAGTTCCATTGTTATAGTATTGTGGCGCATGAACTGTTGTATGGCTCGTAACGTTATTATTTGTAAAATTGTGTATTGTTACATTATGTCCATTTGCCTCTCGATCTTTTACCAAATGACTCCTTTCAATAGCTACATTCTCACTATCACGTTCCATTTTGTCATTTAATGTATTCTTTTCTTGCGGTCGATTCCACTTATCTTCTTCACGATCACGATATGTTGTTTCAGTTGGCGATTGAGTTGATTTTATATAATTATAATTGTTTATATTGTTAATTTTGTAATAACTGTTGTTATAATTTAAAATATTTTGACTATAATTCGTTCCGTTATGCGCATTATGTCGATTATCATAATGATTTGATACTAAATGATTGGTGGAATTTGCTGCAAAATTTTCATATTGTTTTAATTCATATAAAATATCTTTAGCACTCGAATGATTAATGGTGTTATAGTTGCTGCTAGTTTGATAATTTAAGTTATTTAAATTAGTTATCAGTTGGGGTTTTTCGTACGTACGCCTATAGTAATCGAAATCTGCGTTCTTATAATTATTGGAGTTATCGTAATACGATTGTTCAAGTAGTTGCTGTGTTGATCGTTGTTGTAGTTCTCTTCGTAATTCTTCTTGTTGCTCTTGAAATTGAAGTTCCTATAAATAGATTAAAAATAAAAACATGTTTAAATTATATTTTCCACATATTTTTCTTTGTCATATTTGTTTTTAAAATCATCATTAGAGCTTTACGTTTTTAAAAAGGTAAAGAGAAAACCAACATTTGAAAGTTTTATTCTTCTTCCGTTCTGTTTGGTTTCTTCATGCTTAAGTTAAATAAATGACGGTCAGCAATCTTTTTTTTATCCTTTTTATCCTTTTTTTAAGTGATAAATCTCGTTTGCAATTAAGTGTCCCTTTTCCTCTTGATAATGTTTCACTGTCAAAAAGTGAAGGATTTGTATAGACAAGCGGTAAAAATGAAAAGTGTGGAAAAATACACATCTTACGTATTTCAGTTTTGCTTTCGCAAACTAATCAATAGAAATTGTATTTTATATTGTTTAAAGAATCTTTTTAAGTGACAGAAAATATATTTTTTCATAGGTCATTCACTTATAACCTCTAAGAGATCTAAAAGTAACTGATTTGTCCCTCCTACATTAATAAGTTTTTTAATGCTTCTATAGTAATTCGAATTTTATTAAAAGAGAAAAACTTTTTAGACCAAAATTTTAAATGCACAAAGATTCATTGCAAAAGATTGAATTGCTTTGGATTTAAATGATATCAGTAAACGAAAAACTTTTTAATATTGCAACAAGAAAAATATTCTCGCATTCAACTTTGTTTATATTGTTTATTAAGGAAATGAGAAATATATAAAATATATGTTTGTGGCAGATGTGCATCGATACGGAAATGAAAAGAGTTTCCCATTGACATAATGTGACTGCCCTCATCTCAAGTTTCATTATCCATTAAAGTATTGAGCAAGAAGTTAGTTTTTAATGGATTTTTACTAAACTTTAGTAGATTAACAATAAAGACTTTCTTCAATTTTGGTAAGCATGATGAAGATGATGATGATTATGAGGGGAAGCAAAAAGTTTGTAGATAAAAATGTTATTTGACTCACGAACTCATTTTTTACTTGGTACTATCAACTAACAAGACCAGCTCAAGCAAAGGGGCATCATCTTTATTCATTCCCATAAAAAATGTATTTTTATTGTACAACAAAGTTATAATAAGAATAAAACAAGGAGAAGATATCCAAAGTTCAGTAAAGAGATGAAGAATCAAATAGCAAGAGCAAGCAAGGAAGCACAAGCGAAAACAAAGATGGAGATGAAAAAGTTTGACATTCTTTTCCTTTCGATTTCTATGGGAAATTCAAGATCTTGATAAAGTTACTGTTCTTTTTACTCAAAAGCCCACATTGTTTGTCTTGACCGAGCCGATGAGGGAAATAATTCAAGTAAATTTATTTTCTAAAAACAGAAAGGAATTTTTCATTTCTTTTATTAAGCACAATTTATTGAGATATTAAAATGTTAAAGAGTTTCTCCTTCATTTACACTTCAGTTGACTGATTCTTGACTTAATCGATAATATTGTCAAGTGAATAAAGAGTTGAGTGGGAAGTAAACTTTTTAATATAAAATTTTCACCGTTGAATACCGAATGGATAACTTTTCTCCACTTATTGATTAAAAAATTAAATAAAGGGTTAGAAAATAAAATATTAGCAATGTAAAAATTATTTCGTTCAATTCTCGTTTAGTTTATAAGAATTTATATTCTTTGAAAAGTTTTTGATTAAGACAAATTTTTAAATTAAAATATACAAAAACAATTCGTTGGAAATAAACTTTTTAATCCTTAAATATCCTAACAAGAAATTCTTGATTATTAATTACTTATCTGGTTTGTAAGCCATTTGTTCTTTTGTTCAAGATCAATATTTTTATAGTGCTACTCGGGAAATTTTCCATTTAAAGCTTTGAACGAATGAAAAATGACTGGTTCTTAAATACGGAAAATGTCTTAAAAATAATTTTCTATCATCATGTTTAATTCCTTTTTTGCTTTTCCTAATTTTTGTTCTTCCTTCTTTACATTTTATTTTCATTTCCTTTTTCTCATAAAACATTTGAAGCATTTAAATTGCTTTCAACCCTTTAGCACAAAAAATTCTCGTGTTTTCTTCTTGTTCAAATTCCACGAAGAAAAATAATAAAATTTGAAATTAAAAAGGAAACCAGTGAAAACTGAATAAATTTTGTAATTTTTAAATGAAAATAAGTATATAAATGGATATTAAACAACACAACAATGATGAAGAATTAAGAATAATCTAGAAAAAATAACGTAAGAGATTTTTTTTAAAGAATTACTGAACTTCCATGTAAACAATTTCCTTTAAACGATTTACAATCAATGTAAACTTTGTGAGACTACAAAGAAAGTTTAATGATGACATTATAAATTGTATACGCTCAAAACCCCTGTGGTGCAAGCTATTCATATATTTTTTATTGCTATCATTTCTGCTACCGCTTGTGCTGTTTGCTTTCAAAACATGAAAGAGCAAAGTTATTACTTACACTTTGCACCCACCAATTTTCTATAATTCAATATTATTACGCCTGCAGGCAATTCTTGTAGATAATCGATATTAAATTGAATTTGATGTGCGCTTAATGAATTATCTACGACACTTTAACAATTTCCATAATTTCTCAAAAGAAAAGCTCGTCGATGATTTTTAATGAATGATAATTTGCCATTCAAAAGCTGCCATTAAAATCTATTTTTATAATATGTTGTAGTGATAAAGTTGACAATTTAAATTATTTTAATAGTTTGTTTTATGTAAACTCCTTATTAAAAAATAGCCGCATGCTTGAAAACATTATTGTTTCTTTGAATTGTTCCATTAATATTACATGCATCATTTCTTATTTGATTGAGTGTCATTAAAAGTTTCATCTTTCTCATCTTCTTTACCAGAGTATTCAGTTGATCATTGGTAAAGAACTAGACATTTTCTATAAATCAATGACAGACCGGAGAAATGTTAAATTCGAAAAAAATCTGTCTTTTGTGCACATGTGACATAAACATTGAAAGAAAATGACGTTCACATGCATACATGAAAATTTTTGCCATTTTGCATTTGAAACGAAGATATAATTCAACGAATAGTTAGATCCAAACTAGAGACGATACATATAAACACATTATATGCACAGGAATGTATGTTGATGACACTTTTCATATAAATTGCAATTCATTCATAAGTATCTATAGTTGTACGTATGATGATAAGTCCACAACATGCAATAAACTGAACAAATTTTTCCTTTCATTTAATTTTGTACATGCAGGAAGTTTCATGACCTGATTTTATTTTATAAAAAATCAATTTTTGATATATGTTTTGAAACATTACGGTATGAAATGTTTTTCTCTCTTTCTTTCTTTCAAACCAGCTGCTCAAGGGTCAAAAGTTGCTTGAACATAAATCAATTTCCCAAAAAAATAAAAAATTCTTTTTCGTTTAGTTATCCTGAGCTATATAGCATGCATGTATTTTAATTGAAAGATTTTTCGCAAGCACAAAAGAAATGTTATTTATGATCACCCCAAAATTTAGACAGTTTTTGCTTCTCATTTCCGTATGATAAAAATTATTATCTTCATCAGTGGCTTTCGATTCAATCTTATACTTAAAAATAATAAGAAGAAATTTATTTTCTTTAAAATTTATTTGAATAAAATAAAAAATTGCGAATTTCACTGAAAAATTTGCAGCAAATACATTTTTCTTTACGCTAAATTCGGGTCAGCAATTCGCAACATCATCATAATTTAAAATGACTAAAATGTTTTTCGTGTTTTATTTCAGCTAGCTACATACTTATAAATAAGAGAGTAAAATTGATTTCTTTTTGGAAGTTTTTTTTATTATTTTTGATTATGTACAATAAAATAAAATCAACAAGGAATAATCATACATATGAGAACCTTTTATAAATAGTAATCAAAAACTTTCGCAGAAAATAAAACAAACATGGAGAGAAGAAATAATAATAATAATAATAATAGGGTTTATAGAACTTTTTATGATCTCATATGTCTGTTTGTAGATCTAAAGGCAAATAATATAATTTTGTATTTTGGTAAGCCAAAGGCTATCTATCTCTGGTAGTGCTGCACCAAAGGAAGTATTTTGAAGGCAAGTTTAGTGATTCATCATAATTATTTTCTGATATAAATGAAAAATAATGAATATAGACGGTGAGACGAGATTATAATATGAAGAAGAAATACCAGATGTACTTGAGACATGAATAATTGAATAAATAAATGATCAGCAGTCAGTGTAAATTTATCCCACAAAAAAGTTTTGTGTCTTGCGAATAAGAAGTAAATGAAAAAGTGACAATGCGGACCGAAAATAAATTACCGTATAGTATAATAAATTTCTCATAATACAACAATATTTTTGTCAGTTCCGCACATTTTAACCTGCATGCTTCTGCATAAGATAACGCAATCCATTGACAAATAGTTATCTCATTAATTGCCTTAGAAATGATTCATTAATTTATTCAATTTCATTTTCAATATGGTGCTTGTCTCAAGTCTTTTTATGTGTAAGATGAGATGTTTTAGTACCTCTTTTTCAGATTTCTTCGTCTTCTCATTAAGATTCATTTTCTTGTTATTCCACAATTTGTAAATATTTTGATATTTGACTTCATTTCTTCTATACATTTCATGCGATTCCAAAATACACACGTAATAAAAGTAAAGAGACGCCTGATATTAGAGCATGACAAGTGGTGTAAAATTTAACTCAGACTTTCAATTTTGCTTGATTTTATTCTGCTTTATTTATTTTTATTTTCTTTTGCTTGCAGTTTATAGCAATGAGCTGTGTAATTTCATAAGACAAATTCGCGTGATTTAAAAAAAAGATTATTTAAGAAAAAATGAAACGGAATTCCACTATACCGTAATTTAAATGAAAGTGAATTTTTTCGATGTTGTAAGATGAGAAACAAGAAAAATTAATTAGGATCTTTAGTCGAATATTTAATTTTTGCTCATTTTATCACACTTTTTCTTCTAAATTGATTAATTGT